CTGAGACCCAAACTCGGGCCCTCTGCAAGAGAAGCACATGCTCTTAAGCTGAGCCACTCTTTCACCCTCAAGAGAGATCTAATACACCCTTAGCAAGGGAAGTAAGGTGGCCGAAGCTGTAGGTGTCAATGTAAACACCTGGAGAGAGCATGCAGTGTTCAAGAAGATTCGTGAACCCACATTTGTTGAGATATGGTCTCATTATATAGTGACTCAGCTGGCCTTGAACTTGCAGTCTTCCAGCTTCGGCCTCCTAAGTGCTGGGATTACAAAACTTGCATCACTGTGCCTGACTTGAACCCACCGTATTATAATTGTGTTTATGCCTGCACATGCAAATATTTCACCAAGAGCTAGAGGTTCACTTTCTACTAGACTTGGTAATAAACATAAGCAATGGCTCTAAATGAAGAGGGCAGGAACACAAAGCATTAAAGGACATATGAGGGGACAGAGCCCTCTAAGGTGGCTGAATGAGACACCAAAGAATGACTGAGTGCTCTTCAAGGGGTCCAGGATGCTTGGTGCTGTGTACAGACACGGTGTACAGAATGGTTAGCTCCCTCACTCTGCTCACTGTGAATGAGATTGGGAACAAAATACCCAAGTTGCTACAAAAGGACTAGAAACTGGCCATAGATAGCCCTTTGAGAAGGCATAAGTCTCTCCTGGGAGAGACTACAGGATGGTACAGAAAGTGGTTGTACCAAGGGCCTTGCAGCCAGACATGATGGCACATGCCTGTAGTCCTGCCACTGAGGAGGCTGAGACAGGGGAATCAGTAGTGTGGACTACATGGTGAGGACCTGTGTCAGACGACCAGCAGAATGTCTAAATGTGCTCCAGTTAGGAATTTCACTAAGTTCTCTGTCACCCTAGGGTACACCTTGTGTCTCTTTTCTTATGTGAAGATGGAGTTTAAGCATCTCTTGCTCAAACAAACTGGATTTGGGCTTTCTGAGTCTAATATTGCTGGAGTCATGCATTGTCAGTACTGAGGGGTTTTGAAGCAATCTAATCCTCCTGTTGTCTTCATTAATGGAGAAACTGAGTCCCCAAAGGAAAAGCACTGAGCTTTGTCCACGATTGGATACTTCTGTGCAGTTGGGGAAAACTGAGTGACTCATTCTCCAAATATAACTTATTTATTGAGACAACCTTGATCTCCCTATCACCCTGCCCTTGCCTCTATCTCCTGAGTGCTGGGGAAGCAGGCCTGCACAACCATACTCACTAAGACAGCACTTTCCAATTCATTGGTACATGGGGCTGGAGAGATGGCTCAGTGGTTAAGAGCACTGGCTGCTCTTCCAGAGATCCAGGGTTCAGTACACATGGTGACTCACTACTATTTTTAAGTTCAGCTTGAGGGATCTGATGCCCTCTTCTGGCTCCTGTGGGCAGTGCATGCACACGTACAATGCAGGCAAAAACACCCCAAAACATAAAAGTTAAAATTTTTAATCAAATTCGGGTTAGAGAGATGGCTCAACCATTAAAGGCTAGGCTCAAAACCAAAAATTTCTAATCAAATTCACCAATATCTAGTTGTTTTAGTTAGAACCTCCAGCACTAAAGTAATTTAGACACAGTAATATTTTATTACAGTAAACAATTTATTAACAAAAGAAATGGCATCTTAGATCTCAAACACATAGAGGACATTACAAAATAAGCAATACAAACACATTCTTCCCCAAGAAAATGATTAACAACCCCCTCCCCACAACAGGAACTACCTCACTTTTGTCCTGAAGGACAGTTGAGCAATGATTTATGAGGAACACCATCAAGGCACTTACTTGAATTAAAAAAGCCTACTATAAAATATGTCCCTAATGGTAAAGGATGGTGATAGCCATACATTCTTTTGGTAAAGAATCAGAATTCAAGTGCATTCACCTGTCTCTATACTGTCCACACGATGCTACGAAGAAGGAAAGCAGGCTGTGCAGGTATTCACATCCACTTCTGAGAAATAGAAGCCATGGCAGCATCGGGACTCAGATCCCAATTTCCCAAATGATTTGCACTGAAGAGGAAAGAGCTATTTGATTCTGTGTTTCCTCCTAGGGATGAGGGGCGGAGTGCATGATCACCCCCAGAATAAGTCTATTCAAATGTCTAATGAAAACCCTTTATGACCCAGCAGCTATGAGACTTAAAATACAGTGTCCCCAATAAAAGCTCTGATGCCCTCACTGCCCAGTCTGCATCCTTCAATACATTCTTATTTGAAACTAAGTCATAAGGTACAAAATACACACTAAAACAAACCTACTAGTAGATGTTTATTTGACTTTCTAATGGTATTTAACAGGTTTACTTTAAAATTTCAGTTACAAAATACTTTTAGTAAAAAAAAATAGTTCTCACCATGATAAAAATTATCTTATTAAAAATGCCCCCTTCTATATCAAAGCCTCCATTTCTAAGTTACTAATTTTTTAGAAAAAAAACTTAAATTTTTACTTTTAACACACAAAGTAATTCAGTTGTATTTTACTTTATGATATAGTCTATAAAAAAGTCAGCTGGTGTACTATTTTATCCTGTTCATTATAATTTTCATGTTTAAACTTAGCACCCACATTTACTATCATCCATGATTATAATTTTTATACAAAAAAGGTTGGAGTACAAATGAGTCCAATTGCTAGCTAGTTTTGCTCTTTCTTCCTTTGGCAAGGTCTCACTGAGTATCTCAGACTGGCCTCAAAGACTCAATCCTCCTGCCTCAGCTTCCAAGTACTTTGAAGATCACCATGCCCACAAAGGGTCTAACAGCTTTAAAACCCAACTTCAAATTAAAGTATCACTAGAAGTAAGGAAAGATTCCAAGAGGGGAAGAACAAAAAGAACAAAAGACTGGGCAAAAAACATAATGTTTATCAACTGGAGAATTCCACTTTACTATAGACCCTTTCCTTATATGGGAGGCGGGGTGCAGGGCACTACCTCCAGCTGGGGCCTCTGCTCAGGCACTCTCCACATTCTCTTAAGTCCCCACTGGGACACCTGCCGCCCAGATATTTCGGGATATCTAAAGAAGCATGTATTTCCATGCAGAGAACCCTCAGTTCATCTGTCAGTACCTACAAGAAAAGCTTCAGTGAGGATATTAACAGGGGCCACAGAGCTCGAATCCATTAGTGTAAATGAAGAGACTCAACGTTAGTCCCCAAACCTACTGCATTTCTCTTTGTACTTTGCAGATCAGGGTTAACTGGCAATGTGTTCTTCAATGTCAAACTGCCAGGAACAGCCCTGCAGAGGATTGCTGTTTGTGCTAGAATGCAGCCAAGAGCATTAGTTTAATGTGTTCATCTAGCATCTCCATGTAGTCTCCAAGTTCACCATTTGCTGTGCTGGAAACTTTTATATAAATTATATCTGTCTCATTGATCCTGATTAAAATGAACTAGGCACCTGCCAGTCTTACCCTATCTGAGACAGACAGCACTACAGCCACTCGGCTCACAGGGAAGACAGTACTCCTGAGTAGGCCCGCCCAGACTCTGGCTACAACCTGAGATATGCTTCTTAGCTCTTTGGGGCTTTCGTGAGAATCTTCTAGAAACAGAGCCTATTTCCCACTTTGTTCTTAGACTTCTGAATCCTGATCTTACTGTGGGGTTTACCAGGACACAGACCCGATCCAGCCAGGTCTCTTCCTTTCTGGTCAGATGCAATTTACAGAGATCTATTCTTTTAATTCTCAGAGCTGTGTTCTTTGTGTGGCAGGTCTGTGTACACACTAGCATACTTCATCCCTATGCACCTGTCACTCCAGCACTTGGAAGTAGAGGCAGGAGGTCCAAAAGCTCACAATTACCCTCAGCTACTTAGCAAGTTTGAGGTTAGCCTGTGCTACATAAGGCCTTGTCATAAAATACACAGAGACAAAGGCACAGTCTGTATTTCAATTAAATGTTCACCATTTAGCAACATTCAGGGTTTTACATTTCTGTAAACAGAAAATATTTTATACTCTTAATGTTCTGAGTGAACAAGACAATTTACATGAATATGTTTAAAGCATCAAAAAGAAATGGAATTTTTTGATGTTTTTGTTGTTGCTACTGCTAGTGGTAGTAAATTAGGCTTTGGTTCTAGATTTGTTTCCTTCAATTATTAGCAACCAAATCAATTTTAATTTTTGATGTTAGGAAGATCTCAACCCAAAGATGATTACAACAGTTTCTAGTGCAATCATGTTTTTAAAATGGCTATTAAAAGCAGGATCCTGTTTGCTTTTGTGGGACAAACACAAACCATAACATAATTTGAGAATTTGCTCATGCATGTGTAGAACTCCAGAACCTATTAGAGCCACACTATAAACACATGTCAGGCAAAGGGCAGATATGTTCCAAACACTAAACTAAAATTCCTTTTCTATGCTGCTGATGTTGAATGGATTATAGAGTTATTTTAAACATGTACTTTAAAAAATGTGTGTGTGTGTGTGTGTGTGTGTGTGTGTGTGTGTGTGTGTGTGTGTGTCCCACAGGTGTGAGGGTGTTAGATACCTTGGAGCTGGAGT